GCAGTGTGATGTCTAAAACATGGGGATGTTGACACTTACGAGTTACTCGAAGTATAAAAAAACCGTATTTGATAAACATCTGTAGTTACTTCACTGCAGTGTTATGTCTAGGATAATGTTAAATAAAAAAAAATAATATGTAGTATGTTTTTTTTTATCTCTGTTTTCTTTGTGGCGAAGTAAAATCTGTGCTATTTTCATGGCAGAAATTCCTTCTGTCTTACTACTTACTTACTTACTCATGGAGCTGAGCCCTTCTGGAGGAGCCGCCAATTCTGCAGCTACTCAAGAACTTCCCAGCATTTTATGGAACCAGAAGGTTAATTACCGTGTTCACAAGAGCCCTCCACTGGCCCCTATCCTGAGCCAGATCTATCCAATCCATCCCATCCTATCTCTCTAAGATCCACGCTAATATTGTCCACCCACCAACTCCTTGGTCTTCCCTGTGGTCTCTTTCCTTCTGGCTTTCCCACCAATATCCTATACACATTCTTCGTCTCCCTCATTCGTGCTACATGACGTGCCCACCTCATCCTCCTTGACTTGATGATTTTAATTATACTTGGAGAAGAGTACAAGTTATGAGGGAACTTGCCCTATACAAAGTTCGTACATTCCAAGTGCCAAATCTCATAGCCATTTTCATTAGCTTAGCCTTCTGTCTTACAGTACGCTGAAATCCACAACGTAACAGTAATACGGCCTCTAGCATGTTATGCAAGCCTCTCACTCTCCTCTGTAGCATACATGTAACGGGAATAAGAAGACGAACCTAACGGAAGAGTAAGCAAATCCACTGAAATGTTGCACTGTAATGCTGGCCTGCCTAAGTCTCCGGTCCGCGTCTACACAAATCCTTACATTCAAATTATGCCCATAATTCGTTAAGATTCCCATCTGCATGACGCCCGTGTATTAGAAAAACACATTAAAATGGCTTCCCCATTAGTTTATTCCTTTTCTTAAAAGCATTTTCTCATTAGTATCGCGCTTTATATTGTGATGGCGAACTAACCCCCCATCCCACACCACCCCTTAAACAAAAACCACCCCCGTTGTGGTAGGAAAAAGGCAGGGAGAGGTACTTTAAAGCACTTTTACCTACTTATGTATTCCTCCGCCGAATGTGTATGTGTTAGATTCATCCGCATCACACGAAGTATGAAAGAGGGAAAGAAAGATGGGGTACTATTTTCTTGGTGGTTGATTCTCGCTGAAGGCAGCAGCTGAGGCCCTGCCTGGCAAATGCAAGTCATAAGTCTTCATTTATTGCGCAAATTCCGTATCCACGTTTTTACTTCGTAGCATCTCAGCATCAACCACCCAAAACTGCTATTTTTTTCTCTCTCCTTCTAGAATTCCCTCTGGATTGCTTCGGAGGAGATGTTTCACAAATGTGAACTGGGAGGAGAGGCTTTACAACATTTAGTAGACAATGCAGTGTGTGTATATATTAGTTTGAGTTTCTTGGTTAATTCTTTAGAGAGCTTTCCTACACCAGTAGCTTTATTTATTAGTAGGGACGGAGGCAAAATAAGGAGTGAGTGATGTCACACTTTCGTATTCTGCTAGTCAGAAAACTGAAGCGAAGTAATGCTTAAGTCGTGAAATTCATTTACGGTAGTCCTACATGCGGCATATTTTAACGTTGCATTAAAACTTAATTATAAAGGGGTACCAAGAGACCTGGACATTTTTCCATTTTCGATTTGTTCACATTTATCACATCTTACTACAAAGTATTACATGCAGCAAGCCCCATATATTTTTGATCCAAATCACAAGCCTGAAATTTATGTTCAGTATTCATGTTATACTAGGTCGACGAGGAGGGATCTATTAATTTTGTTCCAGCTTTAATTTGTTTACTTTTTTATTAACGTTATTTTATTTTATTTTCGTGAGCCTTCCTTTTTCTTCCATAATGTTCCTTCAATATGCCATAAAGCCACTCTGCTATAATTTTTCAGTAAATACATTCCATTACTTACAGGTTAGAATTGAATTGTGGTACTGCGAAACAATAAACGATAAATAATTCGTTATGTATTCACCGTCCTACACGCATCACACCTAAGCCACACGCTTCGGAACAAATTGCCTTTAAGCTACCGCGGTTTATTCATTGGGTTAAAATCACCCTCAGATTTTCTGCTTAAACCAATCAACATTTCTTTTCACAGCATCTGCTTATTTGTGTTTAACATGTGTGCAGCTTTTTACACATTATAAACAAATTGTACTGGCGGCGTTTGGAGTCAAATAAGACACTCATTAGACAAACTGCGAACCGACTGTGAATTAACGAAAATTGCTCACTTTGAAACACAGCAGGTTTAAGGGGATGAAGCTCCAATTTTTAAGGGACGATTTGTTTTGTTCTCTCGCATTATGGTGGCGTAAAAATAGCATGTACCCTTCATTACCACCCTTCCTAATGATGTAAGTAAACATTTCACACTAATATGAGCCTAATATCCATATAGCATAAGACCTATATTAGTATGAAATGTGACTATGGAATCATGACCTATTTCAATTCACTGATTCAATTTACCTAGAGTCATGTCCTACATTCAATTCACTGATCCATAATTGCTTATCGACACCATTAGATCAGACAAAATGGCCACAACCCCTCGTTGTATAAAAGCGAAAAATGTTAAACCATTGGGACGAAAATTCACGATGCACTGCACAAATTCAAACAGTGTTTCTACCACATCAAGGACAATTATCCATTGAGCTATTACGCAATATTTGAGCAAAAATTACCCACCTCTTCCATGTAATAAATTCTTAGCGATGGTCATACACGTGAGAATGTTTGTCAATAAGATTATGTGACGTGGACACGAAGCGTTATCGGATTCACCAGGTGATAATCACTTTCTCCTGCTATTTCTGCAGCCCACTGTTCACACATCACTTAACCCTGGTTGCTTAGCGGAAACATTGTTCTCTCACGGGCTGTTATCATCGCCCTGGGTTGACGTTCCTTTTCCTCGTTTTACGAACTGAAACCACTCAATCGTTGCATTTGTTTCTAGATAAAAGCTTCACTCTTGTTTGCTACGAATGGTGATAACATATGGCATCGTTGATAATACTCGTACATTCAGCGCTCCCGGGTTTTTACAGTACTTCTCACACTTTTGTTGGTAGTGATTGAGATAAATTGTTGCGCAGCTGAACTCTGGTTTTGAAAGAGGTCCTTTAACTTTCCTGAGAAGGAACAAGGATAAAATTTTGTAATTAAATTTAGAGTACATCAAACATATTTCCGAAATTCGTTCATTGTGACCTTACACAACTAGTAGTTTGATGTTCATATCTCTTACGGGAATTTTTCACATAATTTTTTTAATAAAAGTGAAACAACCGAATTTAGAAGGAGAAGTTAATGATATATAATAATATATGATATGATAAATTAAGACATGTACGTAAATTTAAATATTTAGAGAATCTGGAAATGTTAACCTCGAAAACCTGATAATATATACTTCTTAGTATACCTTTTTAAAACATTTTATAATTTTTAATAAAAAATTGTCAACATTCAATATATTTTCTAATATATATCGTAGGTATACTTCTATTATATTTATTTTAATGCATATATTTTAACCATAGGCACAACTCATGTTCTAGAGTATGACGCGTTGAACCAAATATGGATCCATATTAGGAGTTCAATGACCCTAGATGTGTTATATACATCACTACTGCCTGATAATGGTCTCACGAGGACTGAAACATGTAGCAGAACATAAAATCCAGTCTGAACAATACCGATTGATCATCCAGTCATTTGTTGTGGCGAAGGCTAACTTTAACCATTTCTGACTAACAAAGATTTCGAAACAAGATCTAAAAGTCTGTGACGATGGTACATTAGTACAAATATTGTGTTTCTGGACATTATCTATCGTCTTGTCTTTATCTGAAAACCGTCCTGTTTATTTTTCACAACACAACGTTTCGGAGACTGGATTGTCTCCATGTCTATCCCAATGAGATAGTGACTAGCTCTGTCGATTGGGCCAAACTGAGTAAGCCTATTAGGCATCTCAGTATTTAAAAGTCCATCTAATAACCGTACGTGTAGTAAATTAAAATTAATAACTTAGTATATTAATGTTGTATTTTAGCGTCCTGTTGCACTGATTTTCGTCCATGATATGTATGCAGTGTCCGTCTTTCATTGCACTCAATTTCACTTGTTAGTTCACAACATGTTTCGGCACTATAGTGCCATCATCAGGTGCTCCATTTACGATAATCTATTTCATTGCTTGCCATTATGTCATTGTAAAATTTAAAAACTATTTAAAAATGTTGGTCAATTATAATAAATATTTATATAGAAGCCGAAAGTAATAATAATAAGTACTTTTTCAGATTGCAGATATACACCGAGAGTAAGAGGAACGACTCCCATAGGGTGGAACTATGCGCGGTGTTAGAATTGGGGCAGAGAAGATAAATAATCTTAACAAGTTTTAGTATATAAATATTTGTTATAATTGACGAACCTTTTTAAATACTTTTTAAATTTTACAAGATCCACAAGGCCTCAGAGCCATAGATAGATAGACAGGCAGACAGACAGATAGATAGACAGATAGATAGTTAGATAGATAGGCAGACATACAGATAGATAGACAGACAGATAAATAGACAGGCAGACAGACAGACAGACAGAGAGATAGATAGATAGATAGATAGATAGATAGATAGATAGATGCTTGGATAAAACTATGAAATACAATTTGCTACATTTATGGAAGAGGACTCAAATATTTTTAATAATTTGTTTCCATTATAACGCCTATCGCAAGTGGTGCTGCATATATCCAAGGATCCAATACGTAACTTTCCTTCGTTCGCATCAATTGATATCATGAAGATAGTATGTCATAGGCCTGCGGCTTCAAGATGATCTCTTCAGACATGCTTAATCTTGATGTAAATTATTGCAATATTTGTTACAGGTTACGTGAGGAACGAGGGGAGGCGGAAAGAGCTCTAGCCCTCGATCACAAAGTTCGAGACCTCAGCTCACACAATGGTAAGTCAAACACCATGATGAACACTTTTAATATTATCCAGTTTGAAACGCGGAAAATATATGGGAATCGGCATGAGAGCTCGCGATATTTATGAGGTGCATATGTGTTTAGGTGTTATTGTTTAGAATTTGAAATTATCCTTCTTTTCGTTTAGGCTCTACTCTCTACCCGTTCGCAGGGACTATTGGACACTGGAGACCTTCACATCAGTGTATGAACTCTTAGTAATTATAATTGTTACTTACTAATTATTAGTTTAGAAATTTAACGTCTTCTGTGTAGTCCTCTGTTACATATATCTTCATGTGAAATGAAGATAATTATTATTAATATCTCATTATCGCATTAACAACCAAGCATTTTTCTTGTAGTGGATCTTATCTTTGTATAACCAAATTGCATGACTTGCGGGCTGGAGAACACTTGTGATACATAGTCAGTTGTATTTATTTCCGTTAGCACAACTTGTACACATAAATTATACGTTTAAGTGTTAATCAGTATATATTTTGGTCTTTGAGCCATTATCATCTGTACTTGCCGTTAGCTTGGCTGTTCCTTTCTGCTCCTACGTTGGCCAAAACAGGACAGAAAACGGAGGTGTGAGTAACTTTTGATATGTAAGATTTGAGGCTTTCACGGCGGTGACTATGAAGAATGCAGTCTTCTGGGATTTGGCACCGTGTATATGTGGTGTTAACCGACGTTTCGGAGGAACGTATCGCCCCCATCTTCAGGGTTGAAGAAAAAGTATAAGTAAATCTGCAAGCGACAACACCGTGAGACACGATAAAGCAGATTGTTTTTTGAGATTTTAGATTTTCAGGGCGGTGAATGTTAAGAACAGGGGCTGGGGTGTGACGCTGTGTATTTTGGTTAACATGTATCAGTATTTCGGAAGAATCGCCTTCCTCTGTCCCCGGAAATACCCTGACGATGGAGGCAGCAGGTTCTTCCGAAATATTGGTACCTTTGCGCCAAACTACACGATATCAGATTTCAAATATTATGATCTTCCGTTTTTGCTTATATTCAACATATCAATTTCATTATTAGATACTGTTTTGTCACGTTGACAATGGCGTCCCAGTAGAGTTCATATTTTGTATAATATTATTCCAATCGAACCTATTGCTACTAATATAGATAGCCGCTCAGTTTATTGCGTATACTACAAATATTCTACCCCTCTAACTCTGATATCGTGCGTTCGAATCTCACTCAGGGCATAGATACACTGTATGTCTGATTTCCTTCTGTGTTGAGTTGTCTACGTAGATTAAGGCTCTGAGATGGGCAGATCCCACGTCCAAGGAATGCCACAAATTTGGTGTGAAATTCATAGTTTCATGAGTTAGTTCCCAACGGGTACAGGCCAGAGGGCTGTATAATGGAGAAGAATAAGTCTCTGTGATATATTTAAGACAGTTCACTAATTTAACTTATCAAGTTGCCTCCTTCCTCAGCTAATCCGTTTTATTACACGCTGGAATCAGACAGGAAATTTCGTCACATATAGAAAATAAATATGAAAGGAAAACTTGATTACGATCTTCATCATGTGAACACTTCACCAGTATTTGGGGAGCGGTAAAGTGAAAGCTGATCAAATATCCAATGCGTGAGACAAGATGGAAGAAATGTGTTCGCCTATGCCTATAAATTTTATTACGAAAGTCTGAAACATTAGGCGTGCGTGGAAGAGAGCGTGGAATAAATAGAAGTGTAAAATTCTTCTTTTTCTAATATGCTCTAGTCACCAATTCTTGTTGCACATATATGTCATTTTTCCGTCGTTCCTTCAGGATATATTAAAAATATTATGACGTTTATGTTGTATGCGTGACTAATAATTGTGGGTTCTAAATTTGAGGATTGGATTTATTGGACGACTCTTAAATTACATTTGATTACAACAGCTCACACATTGAACTTCGTAATAACGAGTCTCTCAATGTTTTCTGAATCTTGGAGAACCTCTAGGTTCTCGAATTTTCTTTACGTTCACAGCTCCTAGTTCCAGTTCTCTCTCACTTTAGTCGATCTATTCACCCTAGTCGAATCTATTCGATCTAGCCTAGTCTCTACTCCAATGCCGGTCAAATTCGCTCAACTCAGCTCTGATCTAATAATAGCTAGAGTCTATCTGTATTTAGATTTCGCACGACCCACACAGAAAATACGGCCTCTATTTTTGATGATGGAGTCGTATCCGGGTCATTAAGAACGATGAACCAGAAAACGACCGGCTCCAGGGCCGAATAACTTAATGTCATTTTCGTTTCTCCTGTGACCTGAATGGCCTTTGTTGCAATCTACCTTATCTCACACATTTTAACTCTGAAGTTGGAGGCAGTATGTTGCTCCGAAACTCAGATATCTACCTGAAAAACTACACGGTTTCACGATCCAGAGGGTCACAATCTGAACAGTCACCTCTGCAAAAACCTGATAACTTGTATAAGCTAAATATAACTTCACATTTCCTCTTCTAACAAACCTTCATGAGAGAAAATATATTATTATTATTATACGTATTTTAAACCACCTCTAGGTTTAGTGGTCAACGTTCCTGGCTACAGATCCAGAGGTCCGGATTCGATTCCCGGCACTACCAAATTTTCTGAGAAGTAGTGGGTCTAGAACGGGGTCCACACAGTCTTGTGATAATAATTGAGGAGCTATTTCAAGAAAATAGCGGCTCCGCTCTAGAAATCCGAGATTAATGTGGGAATTCGTTGTGCTGACCACGCAACACCCTCTATCCGCTAAAGTTGGCACTAACTTCGCCGACAAACGGCGGTCGCTCGGTCGGCATAGTTGGCTTACGGACTGAAACCACGGAGTTTTATATATATCCAACAAGGGCTTTGAATTGGAGAGATACCACAAGTAGAAGGGAAGATTTATCTACGTTAATACACTGACACTTTTTGGCAGAAAGTGAAACAAACCGCAGAGTGCGATGGGATATTCTGAACATGTATCCAGTAGTTACATTTTATAAATGTTATTCATGTTTCGAGCTCAGCACACAGCCTGAGTCTGAGAATGATCAAGGGAGTTAAGTGGATTTTAATTCTGCCGACCTTCCAAGAGACGATGTAACCAGATATACGTGTATTTCTCATTGTCTTATACTGCATCAGTGTGGTCAGTTCTAGGAGTAAATTTAACCTTCTTCTGTAACAAAAAGGGCCAAACGGTCATTTACACCTTCCATGCATAAATGGTGCTTATTTTTTCACTGGCACCTTCGTACAGAGTTGCGACCTGGCGACTAAGCAGAGAAAGTGGGTGGAGTGTTTGAGAATCGGGTAATGAGCTTAAATAAAACTGTGATCCTGCATGCAAGTGACCGCCTCTGTGGTCTAATGGTCAGAGATCCTGGTTAGAGATCCAGAGGTCCCGGGTGAGATTTTCAGCGCTACCAGGTTTTCTGAGAAGTAGTGAGTCTGGAACAGAGTCCACTCAGCCTCGTGAGGATAATTGAGGAACTATTTCAGGGAAATAGCTGCTCATCTCTCAAAGACCGAGATTAACGGCCGTGGGGAACCGTTGCGCTGACCACGCGACACCCTCTATCAGCAAAAGTTGGCACTAACTTTGCCGACAAGCGGCGGCCGCTCGATCGGTATAGTTCGCTTGCGGAGTACAGGCCATGGAGTTTTACGAGCAAATATTTTGTCACTGATTGAGAATGTTGGTGGACAGAGTGCTGAGGAGGAAATTTTGATATATGAAAGAGAAAGTAACAGGAAAACGGAAAGAATTACACAGAAATCAGCTTCACATTTCATTCTTTCAATTTAACGTTATTAATGTGACTGACACAAGGTTGGTGAGATGGGTGGGATATGTCGCATGTGGAGAAATAAGAAATGCATATCTGATACGAGAGAAAGAGATCACTAGGGTGACCTAAGCTTAAATGGAAGGATAAAGGTAATCTAGAAAAAAGTTTAAGAGAAATTTGGTGTGAATGTGCGGAATAAATATGGGGTCCAATGACGGCCATTTGTGAACTTGGTATTGTATACCAGGATAATATTGTGTTCATATTTTATCTGTACTTTTATAGTTGTCAACACAATACCCAAGACAAATACCTATTCAAAATATTATATTTATGTATTCCGTTGCAGTTTTGGAAAATTTAGTAACCCTACCTTTCAGATAGACTTGAAAGGAGTCTGACGATGGTGTATACTGTACTTCTTTTGGCTTATTTTGGACTTCACCCATCGTCTGGTATGTAAAAGACAAAAAGACAAAAAGACAAAAAAACACGACGTTTCGGAGACTGCATCTGTCTCCGTCTTCAGGTGGATAGGGAAGGATAAACCTACTCAGTTGGGCCCCTTAGAAAGAGCTAGTCTCAATCACTGGACAAACTCCGGTCTGTAGAAAAACAACCTCCTGAAGACGGAGACAGATCCAGTCTCCGAAACGTCGTGGTTTTTTGTCTTTTACATGCCAGACGATGGGTGAAGTCCAAAATAAACCAAAAGGAGTACCTACCTTTCTGCCATAAAATCTCGAAACCAGTCTCTCAGACTTAACCTGTGTATGGATTCAGACCGTGTTATCAGTTTTAGGCCGAAAATGGCGAACATCGCCGATTTTATATTTGTGGAGGGAAATATGTCGGGTGTTCACTTTATTGCTTAAGGACTCTGAGCGATATCTCGGCAGTGGCTTTACCACTCTGTGGGACTGTCACTCAGGGTATGAATTAAATGTAGCGCGAAGCTGTAAGAAGAATAACGAAGTCTCTTCCGTTTTGTGATACGGCAAATAACGCCACGAATTCAGTTGATCACTCACAGCTTTCGAACTGTAAGTCATATACATCCATATCTTGATTATTTAAGAAGCTACAACCTTCACAATTTCAGAGACGGTTTCCAGTATATTCGCTATTATTCTCAAAGGGGACGGGAAATTAACAAAAGGCAAAAACGGCTTTATTACCGTTGAGTCAGGATATTAACGCTAGTCATATTCGAAGTTGTTTTATTCAAATAAAATTTATAAACATGAAAATTGATTTAAGCAAAATGAATACCAGCAACAAAATTATTTAAACTCATGCCCTTCTGTAGTTTCCCTTACACAGAACCGTTGGGAGAATCCAGGTGCTTCCATATGCACTCATACAGACTACTCCTCTCACGGATTCTCCTTCTTCTCTGTGAGTAGCTCTGCGAATCATCTACTGCCTTTTTCAGAAAACAGCTTCTGATTATCAGAATTGTAAGTCAGTTCAAGTCCTGTCTCGTCTACGTTGTATAATAAATGAGGTAATTTGTTCAACTTCACAGAGTCCATTGTTTGCCACAAAATTTTTAAGAAATCACGTAAATTTCATCAGTCGGCCATAGTTGATATTCTTTACCTTCCTCAGAGTTAAGTCTGGTTTCCATCTCAGAAATCAAACCAGTCCTTTCCCAATACTTTTCCTTCTCAAGATTCTGCCTGTTCTGGTCCTTGCATAACTGATCAGCAAACCTGTGGATGTGTATCAGTGTTAGTCCAAAATTAACTCGCTGTAAACAGACAATTTTTGGATTGAGTTATTTTTCAACATCTGCAGGAAAGGCGGCATTACGCCCAAGCATCTTCAGATGATATCCCTCCGTGTATCTTGGATATAGCTTCAGGGAAATCCCCAGAATTTACAGCTGACGCGGTGAGCTTTAAAGATTGAGTTGAGCATTGTTCCCTAACACATTTTCATGTTTTCATCATGATCTCAAAATAAAAAAAAATAATTTATCTGATTTTGGGAACAAAATCTTAAAATAAAAATAAAAAAGACAACGAAAGAACGATGGATATGTGATGGAAAGGAACTTGACTTGAAGACATCAACACGAGACAGATTATGTTGTGACAAAGAAGTAAATTTTGCTAATGGAAATGTAGATTTCACTTATTTTCACTAGAAACGTGATAAAACTTAAAATAATGAAACGGGTGGCACTGTTAGTCGAATCGACAGTGGCGGACGCACTGTAATGTTTTTGTTCATCGCAGAATAAAGGTAAAGAAATAAAACAAATGGACCCTCCAATATTCCTCCCCAGAAAGAAAAGTAACTACGACGTCCAGTCACATAAAATATTTATTAATATCAGTTGATTTTTGTGACACTGATACACTTAACCTGTGACCACGCGAATATTCAGACGTCCAAAAACGGAGAGAGCAACTGAAGCGCGATAACTATTCGAGCTCTTGTAGTCTACTGAGAGAGACCTCGACGATTTGAAGGTAATAGCGCTTGTTGGTGGACGTGGCACAGTGCTCACAGCAACTAAGCGCCAACGAACTTTCTGTGATATTGTCACAAGTACTTGCAGTATGTACCGGTGGCTTTGTTATCAGCCTGGCGTTAATTTCCCCTCTGCTTTGCATCGCCGTTTACATAGAGAGGAAAATAAATATTATTTGCTTCATGTTACTGATGACATAATTCTACGTCCTAGTGAAGTAATTTACTTGCTGGTGATTTTAAAAGTATAAAATTTTGTTCAGTTATTACATTAAGCATAAAATGGGTCGAAAATTGACTCAAATTTGGAGTACACATATTTTAAAAATGTTCTATTTCTGTAAATTTTACATCTCGCTGACCTGTATCTTCAATTATTGCAGATGCAATTACATTAATTCAGATATAAATACTCTGTTGAAAAGTTAATTGCAATACAGATATCACATACACAGATACAGATTCATAGAATATTTTTTTTTACTTCGTTAAATAATAATAAAAATTAGAATATACAAAACTATAATTTTGTCTGTGGTTCTGTATGGATGTGAAACTTGGTCTCTGACATTAAGGGAGGAACATAGACTGAGGGTGTTTGAGAACAGAGTGTTGAGGAGAATATTTGGAACTAAGAGAGATGAAGTGATAGGAGATTGGAGAAAACTGCATAACGAGGAGCTTCATAACTCTTACTCTTCTCAAAGTATAATTAGAATGATCAAGTCAAGGAGGATGAGATGGGCAGGGGATGTAGCACGAATGGGATAGAAGAGGAATGCATATAGGATACTGGAGGAAAAGCCAGAAGGAAGGGGGCCACTGGGAAGACCAAGGCGTAAGTGGGTGGACAATATTAAAATGGATCTTGGAGAGATAGGATGGGATTGATTGGATTTATCTGGCTCAGAATAGGGACCAGTGGAGGGCTCTTGTGAACATGGTAATGAAACTTCTGGTTCCATAAAATTCTGGTAAAATCTTGAGCAGCTGCAGAATTGGCGGCTCCTCAAGAAGGGCTCAGCTCCATGAGTAAGTAAGTGTGGCAAAATATAGTCTAAACATATTTGTCATTCACTCTACATATTGTTCCATATGTTTATATCAAATTCGTACACAAGGCACCGCATGTGACTTTCTTTAAGGTTGAAATGCAGTGTGGTTTTTGTCGTCAGGCTCTTCGAACGGACACAGCCCAGTTCTGAATTTGTCCAAAAGCGGGGGCGGCTCAGGGGGCGAACACTCGGGAAGCGAAGCGGGGCATACGGGCCCAGAGGACGACGAAGATGATGACAATGTGAGTGACGCGGATGAGGAGGACGAAAAGGATCAAGGTAAGCAGAGAAACCGAAAGGAAGCTCAGATTTTGCATTCAGAAACCATGTAGACCGCTGCTCTGGGATATAACGACGTGAAGCCCGTTGAAAATCAACGGACTATATAACGTTATGTTCCAGGGACAGTACTCTTCATAAACACTGATATGAGAATCTCACATTCTACAAATGCAGAATAAATTAAAAGTGCCATCATTTTCAAAAAGACATCACAATTCCCACGCTGAAGGTATAACATCTTGGGCTCATCAGACGCTAGGATGTCGTGTTCAGATTCTACTTAGGGCGTGACTATGTGCCAGGGACTTCATGATTCTGTATTTTTATGTAGGTAGAAGTCTTCGGGTGGGCAGTCCCCATTCGTAGGAGTCCAAAACACCGGTCCAAATGCTCAGAGTTTTAGACCCGAATCTAAAGAATGTAGAAAGAAACGTCTCAAGAAATATGTCGTTAGACTATACTGCACAAATTTCGTTGTGATGATTTGAAAAGTATTGCATTCACCAATGGTAGGATCTAATTTTGGGTGTACATTATGACCATGATGAATTCTTGGCCATGGGCTACTGCAGAGGAAATGATTCTACTGCTTTAAACAGTAGTCGTAATTAATTACAAAAACAAGTTTGAATTCTCATATATTTGAGTGTCTTAATATTTGTTTAACACTGAAAGAAGAGCATACATTTAATTGCTTAAAACTAAGCGCCAAAGAAATTATTTGGACTTCAGATAAATTGAGTGAGAAAATAAAGTATATCACCTTGTATTTTTAGAACAGTGAAACAAAGACGTTGTAGGGCTCTGATCGAGAATTTCGAATGATGAAGGGAAAAACTGCATGTGCTATTCCTTCTGAGTCAAAAATTCTTTTACAGTCTCGAAATCGACATGTGGTAACCTAAGTTTTTTTTCGAATAATTTAATTAAAACTTTGATTTGACGAAGGGGGCGGATACAATAGCACAGAGATTCAGATATGGAAGGTCGCGGGTTCAAGTCCCGATGAGGTCATTGGATTTTTTCAGTTGACCTAACCCTTCCAGCCGCACTGGGCCCTGGGGTTTACTCAACCTCTAACAGAAATGAGTACCAGGAATAAATTAAATAATTTTCCTGGGGAGTAAAGCGCGGCCGGCGCGTAAGGCTGATAAATTTACCGCCATCTGTGAGCCGATTGTCTAGATAATGTGGGACCCTCAACGTCTCACAACCTTATGGGCCTTCACGGCCTGTTACAGGGATAGCTTTACTTTCTTTTTTTATCACTTTTGTGAGAATTTCACCGAAAGGTGGTGTGCGGGTATGAACTGGATTAATCTGGCTCAGGGTATGGTCCAGTGACGGCCTGTCATGAATAATATTTTGAACCCTCGGTTCCACAAAAAGACGAGACATACCTGAGTGAATAGCATGTTCTCTATGAAGTTGGTTCCATGCTGTCTGATTGACAAATCTTTTTAATTTTAGTGGTCTGACTGAGATTAAGTACAAAAAATTAACTAAAAATAATGACATTTTGTATGTCCGGTCTCACAAGTCACCAATTTTCTTAATGAATTTTCACTTATTTTGGCAAAAGAGGTAAATTTGTCCTTGTGCTTAACTAATGAAGCACTGCAAAGACCTATGAAGGGACTGGATATATAGCCCCACGTTTCTTGACCTCGGCACTGGATCTGAAGAAGTTGTTAACTTCACGTCCTTACCGCTTTACTTCCGGGGAAAGATATCAAGATACCCATTAGATAGAAGGCTGAGTGGGCCCCAAGTTTGGTCTGGACGCTTTGTAATAGAGAAAATTCTTGTTGTGCCGCGAATCAAACCCCAGCCGTCCCTCCCGGAGGCCGTCGCTATACCGAATTAGCCATCCCAACTCCGATGTGTTTTGGTATGAAGAGAAATACATTTAAGCCTTCCGGACGGGTCTAACTTTGATTCGTGTCGATCTATAGGCCAAATTTTTACCAGCCCACATTTCTATAGGGAGAAGAGGAAGGAAAATATTCATTATGTAAACAATAGACACACAGCATAAAATATAGACCCTCTCTAAAGTCAATAACTTTTATCTGAAAGGTTTTTGATGTGTCTGTTGTCTAAAGAAATAGAAGAAAACTAATTAGAATTCTATGCATTGTAATGTATCAATCCTTGATTGGTTTTGTCAAAAATAATTTATGGCTCGATGCAGGTTAGTACCAATGCTTTTGGATGTCTTTCTCAGCAATAAATTCATATCTACAACATAAAGCTTTGAGGCTAATAAAGACCCAGAACCGCGAAGGATGTTTTTGGAAACGTTTCAAACTGCAAAACGGAGTACAATTTCATTCACTTATTCCTGTTAGCTCCTATGTTCATTGTTGCATACATATTAACAAATTTAATAACAACCAATCGACCGGCTAAATCACCTTTATATTCAATATAAGATACAGAGTGTTCCTCGTGAAATTACTAGTTACTGGACTGGTGAATAATTTCCCTTGTTGTGGCATCGGAATTTTTAAGACCGTTTTCATGAAGCTTCTCCTGAAAAAAATACAACCCTCATCACACACTTAGAGCAAATGTTTTCTCTTAGCTCCATGGTAACGTGTCTTCTTCCTGCGCTGATCTTTCTGATATGTTCAATTATCACGTTTAACCAGAGTCCAAAGAAGTGTCGAATTATAGGCGAAACGCAGAAGACCACATTTGCTATAATTTGCTCTCCTATCACATATTTCACGGTAATGCGAGAGATGAGATTGAAGCATTAGAAGAATTATATTTTGTAGAGCATAAATCCACGTCTGTCCCCTATATTAATTATGAAAAAGTCGAGTCAGAATAAGTTCCTCTCTAAGCAGTACCAGTTCACAGCCTGGCAGGTGAATGGTGTGGCCAGGACCTCTATGTTTTGTGACCCAACCCCTGAGAGGATTGCTTCTTCCAACCGTTTTTCCATATTTCCCGTGTTGCATACTATTTCATACTTCAACAAAGATTATAACACGAGAATATCCAAAGATGAATAAAATATTTTAGCGTTAAAGAGGAAAAAATCCTCTAAGTATTAAAATTGTACCGTACAAAAATATTAAATTGTAATTACTTGCACTTTAATATGGGTTCTGATAAAGAAATAAATAAGTCCGTGGTCTTAGTCCGCAAGCGAACTATACCGACCGAGCGACCGCCGCTTGTCGGTGAAGTTAATGCCAAATTTTTGCTGATAGAGGGTGATATGCAGTCAGCACAACGGATCCCCACGGCTGTTAGTCTCGGGTATCTAGATCGGAGCCTATACTTTTCCATTCAAGTAGCACCGTGAATCGAACCCGGGACCTCTAAACCTGTAACCAGGGACTCTGACCACTAGACCACAGACAGTAAAGAAATGAATATCAATGTAAAACTGAAAAGATTAGGAAGAATACGCTAGTAAAATTCTGTAAGTTTATGGCAATACTAGTTCTTGTACATGGATCTGAATACAGGACACAGATAGAGCTACAAAGTGTAGTTTGGAGGTTGTGGAAGAGCGCTTCCTGAGAGGCAGGACACAGACTGACTGATCAGAGGCGCAGTGAAGATGTTAGAGAGGAACTACAAATCATTGACACAGATTCAGGGATTACAGTTCAAATAAAGGGGCTTCAAGACCTATGAAGAATGGAGCAAAGTAATTTTCCTAAATTCCCCTCAAACTACAAACACAGAGGCAGAAGAGACCATGTAAAACTTAAATAGAGCAGTTTTCTTTTTTAATTATATAGTTATAATTTTAAAGATTGAAGCCGAAATTTATTTTTAGAAGGGCCTAAATCATGCTGATGATGAATCCAAATGCCTGAAGATATTCCGTCTCCTTTACAAAATCATTTACCAAAAGTCCCTCATGCGTTTCTTCTGTAGGACAAGTTAGGAAAAAGGATTCATAATTGACGGTTTAACTGTAAAATCCAGGGGATGCAAATACATATTTAGAATATATCTATAACGTTTCAAAATATTGTATCGCCATTTATTTCTGATGTTAGTTAATTTTTAATTATTTATTTTTATTGTGTAATGGCTCCCTCATGTGTAACAATTTTACAAGTCAGGTTTCTGGATTTATAACCCAGTTTGTGAATCTAATGGCGTCCGTATTTTGAAGATAATTTTGTGTGCAGAAGAGAGAAAGAAATTGCTTATTGAAAGCCTTGCCTTCGTGATCTGAAATAATAAACAACGTCCAGTGAAGCATTTGCAGACCAGCGAGGCTATACTTCATGGCTGGCCGAATTCATACCAAGGGATTCGTGCGGGAGATGCCTCAGACAAGATTTATGTCTGGACCACAAGTTCATTCGTTTCGATTCTTGATAATAAAATACAAACATATATCTTCTATGACATTTAGAGATACAAGTATTATCAATAATAACATCAGTCGGTATAATCAATACATTTTTTTCTCCAGAAAATTAAATTTATTTTAACTTCATGTAATGTGAATGGGACATTTTACGCTGCAAATTGAAAAGAAAATAATTACGTATTCTTTGCATAAATTTCATAAAATTAAGACTTATATGAGGGATGTCATCCATCCTCCAGCAAGTCATAGGCGTATATCAAACAAGTGAATAAATATACGCAAAATTTATTATCAGGATTCTGTGTCATGTCCTACAAGCACGACGCTGCCCAAACCTTCGTCTTCTGGAAATATCTAATAATTTACTCACAAGTTAGTAGATTGTCAGCTTATCAAGGAGGAATATGTTCTACCAGTTATTTCCAGTTTAAGTTCATTCCACCAGTCGGGTTCATCCGCTTTTAGACGTGATCTCTCTGGTCTGCAGCTGATCTGAGCGACACTCCTGAAATCGGCGGTCTGAACAGCGCACCCGGTAGCGACTCCCAGCATGCCATCAACTATTCGACGCTTGCCTCTGCGGCGGCAGCGGCGGGGGCGGTTGCGTCCGGAGTGGGGGTTGGGGTCGGAGTGGACCCCAGCATCTCCTCCACAGAGACACTGCTGAGAAACATCCAGGGTCTGCTCAAGGTCGCAGCCGACAACGCGAGACAACAGGAGCGCCAGATCAACTACGAAAAGAGTAAGTAGCAACAGACGACTGTGTTGTGCAGACCTGGCACGCATAATTCATTGACAGAAACTTTTGTGCAGAAGGGCTCAGGGTTGCTAAATTATGTCTAGAATATTCTTGAGGGTGCATCATAATTCGATATTGCCGTGGATCGTTACGTCATTAAACAGATCATAGTTTATGTTTTCACTATAGGCCTACCTTGAGAAGACCGTGCCATAGCTCAGACGGTTAGTTACCGGCTTCCCACCGCGGCGGCCCGCGTTCGAGCCCAGGTGTCAGTCATATGAGATTTGTGGTGGACAAAGTCGCACTGAGGCAGATTTATTCCTAGCACTTCGGTTTCTCCTGCCAATTCTCATTCCACTGGCTGTTCCACATCTATCATCCGGGGCAGGTACAATAGGCCAATTAGTGGCCGACGTACCAAATGAACTCAATCTCACACCAACCCAAGAAAAAGAAAAAAGAAGCTACGGTGAGAAGCAGAAGGGCTGTATCCCAGATCTCGTTGAACACGAGAATTTCCTATTGTAAGGTTGCTGCCTCACCGTGTCACTTACCGTCAGAGATATTTTAGACAAACAATAAGTTATCGTTATGCAGGCTAGCAAGCAGCTTCAAAGAGGAACAATGCTAACAGCAGACGAAAATGTTACAGCCAGAGAGATAATAATTATGAATGGGAGCAGATGACGGCAGCCATTGAAGGTACACCTGAGTCATGCAGTGTATACCTTGTCAAAAGACAGTTCCCCTATATAGCATCACAGTCATGTGCATTACTGTAATATGAAGTTTACTAAAACATGTAAAGGTATCCCTGTAACAGCCAGTGGAGGCCCATAGGGTACGTCGAGTCTACCACATTCTCTAGACAATCGGCTCACAGATGGCGGTGAGGTCAGCCTTACGCGCCGGCCGGCCGCCATTTACCCCCAGGAAGATTCGTCACTCATTTCTTGTAAAGGCTGAGTGAAGCCCACGGCCATAGTGCGGCTGGAAGGATTAGATAGTAGAAAAATCCGGTGACCTCATGGGGGATCGAACCCGCGGCCTTGCGGCTTGTAACATAGCGCCTCAGTCAACTACTCTACCGCGTATAAATATAAATATATTTCCAGAACGTCTCAGATTACTAGGATAAAATATTTCGATGAAGTTCGTTTTGAACAATACATCGTTCACTTTTCAAGGGGTTTTATGCTGTAAACTTAGCTGTCTGTATTAAATATATGCAGGAAAATGGAACAAGGAACATTTTGAAGAAAGCAGTATTCTGGGATTTGGCACCGTGTAGATGTGGTGTTAACCGACGTTTCGGAGGAACGTGTCGTCTCCATCTTCAGGGTAGAAGGAAAAATATAAGAAATCCGCAAGCGAAGAGACCGTCGGTTAACACCACATCTACACGGTGCCAAATCCCAGAAGACTGCTTTCTTCATAGTCACCGTCGTGAAAACCTCAAATCTTACAAGGAACATTTTCTTCGAACCTTTTGGAATAGTGACTGGTATTCTGCATTTTAATAATCGATATTGATTCACTACGTTTTCTACTTAGCTCGGCTCATAGGCTAATCCGATTTAGAAACTTTGCGGTGTGTTCAGGTAGTGAAAACCATCAGAATAATGGAACTTTGTTGTAAGATTTGATGATACTCTAATCTCATTGTTGCTGTGTTTATTGTAAACGTATGGGAGGAAATTCAACGTTGCAGGAGCTTATAAAAATGATTCTTTTTTCATCTTATCTGAAGTAATTTTACAAATATCCCGAGATCCATATAAAAAATTTTGTATCAGCTTTTTATAAATATTTAAATTATTTTTTTAATGTTTACCTTAAGGACTGAAGTTGTGTGTAAAGTAATACATACAGCACATTTTGAAACCCTTTAATCTGTACATTTACATCTAAAATACTGAGGTGCTGGAGTACCTGTTAGGGCCTTCACATAATGTATAGGCTTTAGTACCAAGTTTCAGCCTATATTTATAACATTCAACCACTTTCTCTTCAATAGCCGAGGTAGCCCAGTCGGTATAGAGACTGGCTACGGGATAGACGACTGAGGGGTCGGATTTCGGGTCCCGGTAGGGTCAAGAATTTTCTATTCAACAAATCGTCCAGACCGGCTCTGGGGTTCACCCAACCTCCTATCCAATGGGTACCCTGGACTCTTTTCCCGGGGGTAAAGCGGCAGGGGCGTGAAGCTGACCATTCATCTCCAACTAGTACCGAGGTCAAGAAAATGTGGAATTACACATCGGCTCCCAATACGGCTTCATTGCGCAGTGCTTAATTAGTTAAGAACAAAGACAACTTTACCTTTTTATCGCTCTTTAAAATGACCGTTAGATTTTGTACTGTCTTTATTATATCTTACCGAGTTATTTTCTTGTATGCAAAATCTTTAAGATCACTTTTACACGTAAAGGTAAGCCAGTTTTGATTGACCTTAACCCCAACGAATGGTTGTGTTTGATTCTTTGTTTCTAGTAATGATGTCATTGTAAGGCATCCAGAAAGCACGCCTTAGAGCTGAATCCTGTACAGAGAGGCTGCAGTCCCATGACTCACAAGCACAATGGCAGAAAATGCGCGTGTTCCGCTTTTCTTGTGTTAATTAACGTCGCCAATTTAGGATTTAATCTCAAGATACGGGCTCCAGTCTACCTTGTATTTATACGGCGGGTACAGGCTAACAACAATACTCACTATTTGTAAAGTGTGACTTCATGTAGAATGCATTTTTTTTTTACTCCAGATGAAAATTTACTTCCAAGTTTTCAATGTTAGGCCGAGTTTAAATATGTGTACTTTCTTAGGTTAATATGTAACAATATTATTCAATGCTACAATTCGCTTCTGGACCCAAAATCGCCCACCCTAACGACTGACTCTCAACAGACTACACGGGTCTTCAGCCCCATCGAGATTATCTGTGATTTTCCTCAGTTTCTTCACTCATATCTTAAAGATAAAGGTATAGTTTTCTCTGTGTTTAACTAATTAAGCACTATGCCATGAAGGCGTATGGGGGGTGGATGTCTAGAACCACATTTTCTTAACCTCGACACTACTTGGAAGTAAGTGGTCAGCTTGAGGCTCCCGTCGCTTTACCCTCAGGAAAGAGATTGTATACGAGATTGGGTGGACCCCAAAGCCGGTCAGGAAGACATGGAGAAATGAAAATGCTTGCCTCACCGGGACTCGAACTCTCGACTCTTCCGTCCTCCAGCCCGTAGCCAGTCGCGATACCGACTGAGCTAACCCAGCTTCTTTTCTTTAGATGAATATTCTAGGAGTTTAGTAGGATCCCTTTTACGAGAGATCTGAAAATCTCACGGCCTCTACGTACTTAAGAAAATGTAACGCGGACAAACACAAGCATTCACCTATATATAGTACGTCTGTTCATTGCACCCACTATGCTGGAAAGCTAGAGGTCCGACAGAGGCACCTTAGTCAATCCGAGGGCTCCTAATGGGTGACAACCCATTTTAAAGAGCTGCCATCTGGCGCTACTTGTATCGGAATATAACAAAGGACAGACCATTTTAATTTATAAAGTATAAATATAGTCCATTTGTTGAAGTGTTTCCGATGTGGTTCATGGTTTTCGTTGATGAAAAATATTCATATTTGACTTCAGGTGCCATTCACTATGTCATATCATCGTATATCACCAATTTCAACAAGGAACAGCTGGAGTTTGATAGCAAGTAACCTCGTTCTGGTCCGGTCTAGAAAACCGAGGTTAACGGCCGTGGGAATCCGTTGCGTTGACCACTCGACACCCTCTATCCACAAAAGTTGGCACTAACTTCGCTGACAAGCGGGGGTAGCTCGGTCGGTATAGTTCTCTTGCGGATTAAAGGCCACGGAGAGCCCTCGTTCTGGATATTGATGTTGTTAATAACCTGCTTTTTGATGGTGTAGAATTGCACACAAAATGATCGCGTTCTCTGGATTTAATGGCGACATAATGCGTCACAAATACATGTTGAAATATTTTGCATTTTCTGTAACACATTCCACTGAATTGTTAGAAAACGGTCATAGATAAGAGCATGAGTTCTAATATATATATATATATATCCGTTTTAGATACATTCTGCAAGTTATTAAGTTTTTACAATCTTGACACTTGTGTTGATTTTTGTTGTTTCTCCCTGAAATTTAAGCTGGAACTTAGACTTCAAACGTATAATTCAATTCATAACAATATAAACATATGATTTTGTTTTTTAAGGTAACTTATAACATTCATTAATAAGAAAACAATAAATTCCTAAATTTGAGTCAGTAAATAAATGCCTAATTATATCCTTTTGTTATAAAGTAGCGAGAATATACAGGGACTAACTGGCTTTTGTTTCTGAACGAGTTATCTCGGTCACAGCGATGAAGTTAATGCCGGTATATTAAAACGAACTATTTAATGGGATAGTTTAAAGGGCTCCCTTAATGAAACAGGACACTGCTACTTACTTACAATGCCACAATTACGCATTAGGCAAATTAGTATCAACCCATGAGACAGACACTGTGGAATCATATGTTTCGACAGAGGCATGTGTGTAACTAATGTAAAATAAGTAAATCTTCGTGCTTTCTGCCTGACAGCGCTCACAACTATGGTTTCTCGGATCATAAACCCCGTGTAAGTGTTATTTAATGCGCCATTGTCTTGCTGCCGGTTTGAAATGGCATAATAGCAGAAAACCAAGCAACAGTAATTGAAAATTTGATGGTCACAGATAACAAAAGTAGGTAACCGGAGGATAAGAAACGGGTTCTTAATTTCTATTAACAATCTGATGTACTCTGTCCATAATATTAAATTAAATTAAATTAAATCGTGTGAAATTTATGGCGCAACTTGAGAAATCTTACCTCTCTACTCCACAAAATACGGATATAGAAGCATTAAGAACTAAAGTTACGATAACATCCGGGCCCGCAAGAAGTATTAAATGCATTTAAAACTTATGCACAGACTT